AGTTGCAGCACCAACAGATTATTTTTCTCCACAAAAAACCCCGAAAACCTTACAGTAGTAGTTCATTTACTGTGGGCAACACTTTAGTCAAAAATGTATTTTGTTTTGCTTGTTAATATATCCTAAATAGCTATCAACTTTGACTATTTAATTAATAGATTCAGGTGCTGTTTCTAGTCTCTCTTAATTAAGGGAAACATCGCATTTTTTACAAAGAACTCAGGCTGTCAGGGCTTCTAGCACGCACACTATAATTACCTAAGTATTGCCAACACACAAGAACAACAAGAGGGGAGAGAAAGGAACTAAAAATTTGACTGAAACCTCTTTTAATTTACAGCAAATTAGAAAGTCCATCTGCATGGAGAAGAGGTGCTACACACAGAAAGATTCCAATGTCACACTGCTTATGCCTGACCATTAAAGAAGTCTTAACATTGATGCAGAAACATTGTAAAGGTTTTTAATAGGCTTTTTTTTTTTCATGAATACACAGGCATTGGATTTTAAGTGCTCTGCCATGCACTCAAATCCACCTCATCTGTATGGAAAACTTCTACCATTTCACTCCAAATGTATAAGGAATCTTTATGCCCTTTCATTCTCATAAAGCACAGGGAGATCAACATCTGCCTCAAGTATAAGCATTTTCTTTTTTTCCTCAGCAGTCTCAAACTCCAGCAGTAATCACAATTAGGCAAAGAGGTTGTACCCAGAGCAAAGTCGATTTGGCTGAAAAAAAATACCATTTCCACTACACAAAACTTCAAATGATCTTTAAACTCTTCGGGACATAAACCACATCTTTTGTTTGGAAAGCAAACGCCACGTCATTGATACTACTGCAAGATAAATTGCAGTATTAAGACTAGTCAGCACACCAGCGTTCATTCCCCATCCAAGAGGAAACAAAGTTTCTTGTCTTCTTTATTTCATCCTAGTTCTCTGCCCAGGAACCGGAACCTATGGGTGCACAAAAAATGCAGCATTGCAAGTAGCAAGTTTCACAGAGCCTAGGTCCCAAGTTCCCAATTCCTAAGGGAGGCAGCATTCCAAAATTAAGGGCCTGCTCTCCCTACAAGTGATATGCCTTGGAACAGCAATGGGACTGGGGAGGTGTCTCAGAGATCAACAACTCCAGGAAGGTCAGGGTGCCAAGACAACACTGGACCCCTCACAAAACACAGGCATGAAACAGAAAAGTGAGTCTGATTGTCTCCTTTGCCTGTCAGTCTGGTGGGAAGCATCCTCATGTAGTCTGAGCTGTGCACCATTTCAGTACAGCTTTCCTTGCCTTTTCCCTGTAAGATATCATAATCTCCACCTAGCACTTCCTCAGTTATGCAGCAGGCTAACCTGGCACAGCTGGTCCAAAAAACTGTCCCAAAACTGTTTGGGTTTTGCACGGGTTTACAGTCAAAAAAAAAGGAGCCCCTGTGGCTCTCAGTCCCTTTTTACAACATTGAATACCTGTTTGGACAAGGACAAGAACTTAAGGTTCCTGCTTCCCAAGACAAATATTTCATCTACTAAACTGCACAGTTGTGCTGGTTAGACAGCTAAAGGTACAGACCCAGCAGAAGGAGGAGATACTGTGAAGGATCCAAAGGTAGCACTCATAGATTGATCTTTACAAAAAAGACCAGCATTTCTTTCATCTTTGCTATAACTTGTGTGTAACACCTCTAAGCGCTCAGCTGCTCATCACTGTCATGTTCTGCATACTCCTAAATGTGTCCAGACTCAAAGGCAAAGAAAATTTTAGGTAAATCATAAGTATATACTGATTTTAGAAGCATAAAAAAAGGTTCACTTCCCTTTTAACCATTTGAAATTTGGATCGTTGCAATTAATTAACCAATACAGGAAACAGATTATTGGCTTGGTGCACCACCAAACAAAACACTTCCTAAATTATCCTAATTTTACCTACAGGTGCCTGTGTCCTAGTGATAATCAATCCCCCAACTCAGGTGCTGACTCACACTTGGAAACCTGACCATGATCATGCATCAGATGGCAAACTGGTTTTCATGTAATACATTTAAGAGTATGTTCATCAAACACACAACAGAAGCCTTGGGATTATTATTTAATGTTATTTAAAGTTGGTTAATACCAGAAGTAAACAAGAAATTTGGATAAAAGTGTCACATATCTCTCTATTCCCTTCCTTTTAGTTTTACTAAAAAAGATGCTAGCAATTACTTATTAATTCTAGCTCTTATTAAGAGCTACCCACAAGCAAGATCTCCCTGGTGCTATCCTGAAATGCAAGTGAAGACAGAGAATACTTATTACTGGTGGTTCAGCACCAGAAGGTAGTGAAACAGTCTGAGACACAAGGAAATTTTGAGTTCCCTTTGTTTTTTGTCATTTCTTTTGTTCTTCATCTCCTGATACTCAAGGTACCAATTGCCTAGTCACCTGGTCTTTGTTCAGGCACTGACTGTAATGAGACTATACGTGCACCAACACTCAGTATGAACATTAAAAAAAAAAACCACCACTGAAAAAAATGGCCATTTTTAGCCACTGCAGATGATAACTATGTTTCTTCATCAGTACCTTGGCCATTCCCTCCAGAATTATGGTCTCATGAGCCAGAGAAGCAAGACTGAACGCAACCTTTCTTGGTTTTTTATTGTATTTGCATAGAGTGCAGAAGCAACTTACCATAATTTATGGCTACTGTAAATTTTGTGTAGGTGAACTCATTACAGTTAACAGCAATACTTTATTCACACCGGTTCCCCACAAAATGTGAGCCTCAAATCCAATTATTCCGTAATAGTTTTGTAAGTAAACAAAACACCATTTAGGATTTGAAAACAATACATCTTTCTGCTAACCGAGGCAGAAAGGAAAAAAAACAACAAAACACCGAAGCTAGCACAGGACTATGCAACAATTTCATTTTGTAAGAAGATTATCACAGAGCAGAAAGCTTTAGCTCTGGCTGAGAAAAGAACATATACTCTGTGCTAGTAGAGTTCCCTGTATTTGTAAGTGGAATTTTGTTCTGTTTGTTAATGCACCTCTTCAAGAGACAAAAGAAACCACACAGGGAAAAGGAAATAACATTCTTACTTCTGTCCAGCATCACCTCGACTAAAACCCATTCTGATTTCAGCTCTTTTCAGGTACAACTTGCACATTTTCGACAGAGCTATCTGCAATGCACTGTGAAAATGCACTACAAAGTTTTGATAAGTGGTCCTGCCATTTTAATCATGCTCAGCAGGGACAATCTGGTCAGGTGTTTTCCCTGTGCTTGTTGAATTCAAGCTATATTTGGAGACCAACTGTTCTCTGTCCTGCTTTCTCCAACTAAGTGTGTGCATAAGGGTGGAGAGGTGAAGGTGGGAATTAAGAGAGAAAGAGAAAATGAGACTCTCTTAAGAGTACATAAGACGGCCCTTAAAAAAGGCCAAAAAAGGTACTGACAGTAATGCACTTAATTTTAATTGTGAAGGTTCGGTAACAATAGATGTGAAAGGGAAGAAGACTAGAGTACACAGAAGGGAACCAAAAGCCAAGGTTTCTGTGAAAGTTACAGGAAAGACCAGAACACTTACGATTAAAATCCAAGGTTCAGACATGTTCACGGCACAAGGAGCTCTGTAACAGCCCAGTGCTCGCTGCTGCAAAGCAAGTTCACTGCAGGTCACAACTACAACTCCATTTAACCACATCATCTCATACAATGTTGCAAGAAAATGAATGGAAACTGTACAAGTTCTACTGGTTGTAGAAACAAACTTGGAAAAAGAACAAAACAGATATACCTATCTGTGATTACACTGAACATCATCCAAACGACCCGTAGTTCAAGCAGAGTCTCAAGTGAAGAGCGTCACCACAAAAGAAACAGTGCCAAGACAAGTGGAGAGCTTTCCACTCTGCTCCCAAACATGCTTGTACATATCAGCAATTCACTGATGGCAAACATGCCATCTTGGACGCCAGCCTATTTCCCTTAGAGTGGGAGAGGGGAAAGGCCATGGAGTTTATTTTGGACTTGAAATTAATGAGTGAGATAAAATGATGAGCTAATGAGATTATTATTGCTTTGAAGAATGAGCAGCGAGATTACTGGAAACTCTGTCATATCTGCTCTCTGCCTAATCAATGAGGAAATATGAAGATTCAAAGAAGAAAAAATACTGGAGGGGAAGAATAGACAAGTGCAGCATCAAACAGGTAACACTCAGTCTCAACAAGAAATTCCCTTAGAATACAGTGCACTAAAGGCTATAAGGGGATAATCAGCATGCTTATTGATTTAGATGCCTGCACATTAGGTTAGCACCTTAATAAATCCATCAGCATCCTCTGAACAGAATCCAGGCATAACAGCATCCCATTTGGTTGCCGTTCTCAGATCAATAGGGTTTGCTCTTCTCCATTTTGCACTCGCAAGCCGTGCACCCAGGTACAGCCCGGCTCTCCTGAAACGGGCTGTCCTTCTTTCTTTCTTTTTGTTTTAAACCACTCTCCCACTTTTCGCCGATCCATCCATCCATCCATCCATCCTTCCTTCCTTCCTTCCTTCCTTCCTCCCACCCTCCCCTGGCGCTCGGCGGAGAGCCCAGCCGCCCTCCCTCCCAGCAGCGAGCCGCCAGCCTGCGCCTCCCGGGACGGCGTCCATCTCACCCCGGACGGGCAGGACGCGTTTCCAGCCGGGACCATTGTGCCCTTCCCCGCACCGCCGCCGTCCCCCGGTCCCCCCACCCTCCCTCCCTGCCCCGGGTACCGCCCGCCGGCGCACAAAGCGCAGCGCCCGCCGGCGGCACCGGCACCGCCGGACCGAGCCGGGCTGGGCCCGGCAAGGCTCCTCCCGAGCCGCCGCAGCAGGGGCGGCGCGATGGGGCCTTTCCGAGAGGGGCTCCCGGTCGAGCCCCCCAGGGTGCAGGAGCGCCGAGCGGGGGATGCTGCCCCGGCCGCCCCGGGTCCGCCGCCCGCCTCCCCTCTCCGCATCCCGGCGGAGCGGCACCAACCTGCAGTCCCCGCCGCCGCCTCCTCCTCCTCCTCCTCGGGGAGAGCCGGAGCTGCCTGTGCCCGCTTCAGCCTCCAGCCCCCGGCGGCGGCGGGCTGGCTGCCCTCGGGAGGCGGGGAAGGGGCGAGCGGGGCGGGCGGCTGCGGGAGCGCCGCTCATTGAGTGCGGCAGCCCCAGCTGTCGCCGCCGCTGCTGCTGCTCCCCGCAGCCGCTACTTCCTGTGCGGCGACGGTTCAGTTCCTCCCGGGCCGCTGGGGGCAGGAGAGCCGGGGGGCGGAGGAGGAGGAGGAGAGGAGGGGGAAGGTCGGGTCAGATAGCGGGGGCGGCAGCGGGGCCGCCGCTGCTCCTCCCGCCCCGGCGCGGCTCCGCCCCGCACAGCCCGGCCGGGGCTACGCGCTGCCCGCGCCGCAGCGGGACGCGATGCGGAGGAGCCGCCCGCTCGCCCTCCGCGCCCCGCACCGCGGGCAGCGCCCATCGCCGCGGCCGAGCACCCCCCGGCCGGGGCTCCCCGGGGGTGGCTGTGGGACTGGAGTGTCCCCCGACCCCTCGGGGCCGCTCACCGAGCTCCTCGGAGAGCGCGGAGCGTGTCTCTCCCTCCCGCCCGGCTCCGCATCCCGCGGCGGGGAGGGGAGGAAGGTGCCCCCGGGCCCGGCCCTGCGGGGCTGGGAGGGAGCGGCCGGCCGGCCGGGAGGGGTGAGAGAAGCTCCCGTACACAGAGATGGGGGATCTGAGCGGGAGAAAGGCGGAGATGGAGCCGCGGGGGATCGATAGCGGAAACTCTCTGTAAAGCAGGAAACGGCCACGGAACGGTGCTGATAAATGGCAGGGTCCCGGGGCTGGATGGAGGGGAAGCAGCGGAGTACCAGTTTGGTCGGCTTTTCAGAATAATTCTTGAGAGACAGCGGTTTTGTTTGGAGTCTTATTCGTTCGCCTTACGAGGTGACAGGACTGCAGCAGCTGCGTCTGTCCCGGCCAGAGAAATTCAACATGGTGAGGCTTTTATGGGCGATAATGAGTTGGAATAGGGAGGTCTTCCTCTCCTTTCTTGGATCGGCGTGAGGAAGTGCCAAAGCTTGGAAGCCACAACCTTTTATTAAAAAAAAAAAAAAAAAAAAAAAAAAAAAAAAAAAAGTCAAATTGTAACAACATTTTTAAATACAAGTGTCTAGCGTTATCCTTCAAACACCTTACTGATGCCACTAAATAATTAGGTATACTTTCCAAGATGGTGAATGCTTGCAGCTCTTAAAGCTTTTTGTTCAAGATCACATATTCATTACTCCTGAAAGACAGTTCCTTTTATTTGGTTCTAGAATACAAATTTTGGGGAGACTAACATTAGGCAGTACAATGGAAAGACAGTGGTCATAGTGGTCTTTGAATCTTCACAATAAAGCAAATACTACCCTCAGCAGCTATGGGAGACCTACTAAAAAAGTGCATTTACCTGTTGTTTAGGTTCCACATGTCCCCCTCTTTTGCCTGTGATATGTGACATTCAGAACATCATAACCTACTTCAGAAAAGTACACACGAGTAATATGTAAATATTTATGTTCTTTGTTTACTTGAAGTGCCAATAAATCCCTTTATTGCTGTGCTTTTACTGCCATTGCAGAACTCACTACTGTTTTCCAGCTGTAGCTGTGTTCTAGTACAAAGCAGAGATTCTGCCCTTAGGTTGGGTGCATATATTGCTTTTTCTTCCCCCTCTCTCCTCCAGCACAGCCTCTTGTTGGCAGTTCTGATCAGCCTCTAATGCTGCTCAGCCCATGCCGGATTGGCCAACCACAAAATCTTTGGCCTGTCTCCTGTGCTGGTGTAGCTTTGTAGTGGGCTGCCATAAATTCCAGCAGCCTCCATGGCTTCCTGGAGAACATCACAGGTGATTTCAGTCCCTCACATAGCTCAGAATGGAGACAGGAAAAGGCAATTTAGCCTTCCTCTGAGGGTCCTGGTGCTGAGCCTCCTGTTTGTCTTCATTTTCCACCTGGGCAGCACACACGTGTTTGCAGCTCATTTCTTTCTGCACCTTCTGGGTTTGCACAAGGATACACATAGAGTACAGCATCCATTTTTCATCTGTGTGCACTTTAGTGTGCCTCACAAGTCCTCTTCCAAATAAGAAATAGCTTATTCAAGGGAACGATCTAATAGAAGTAGCTTATGGAAGTTTGGTTGCAGAAATAGAGCATGACATCATTTCTTCAGTCAGAAGAATATTCAGATTGTATCACTAACAGAAGGAAAGTTAAGCTTGCCTGACTTGTTTCTGCTTTACCCAAATTTTAACTACAGCAAAATATAAATTCCCTATATTATTTTATACTGGCAGCCCTACTTTGCAGTGCTTGTAGAGTTCAGTGAGAGTGTTGTGCATATAAGTCAAATGACCAAAACTGAAATCTGGAAGGATGGTGCATTCACAAGGTATTTTAGCATGAGAAAGTTAAAGAACAAAAAGAGAAAGAAAAGGAAGAACATGTTAACTTTAGAAATAAAAATTGTGAATATACAGGAACAGCATGAAAAAAAATCCCAAAGGTAGCACTATAAAGTTTGCCAAGAAATTAATTTCCACTCTCCTGCTCAGCTGTGTTCTGACATCTTCTGGCAAATGGCATCTTCTCTTTCTCAGGACTTAGGAGAGCTCTGTGAAGTACTGGTCATTACCTCTAGGGTAAAACTGAGAACAGCTCTCCTGATATTTATCCATTATCATCCCCAGGCTTAAAATTAGCTCTTCCACAGAAGCAATGTTTGCTATATTCATGAAGCAAGATTTCAAATAAAGCACTACTAACCTCTTCTATTGAGCAAAATCCACTTAACACATCAAAGCAGCTGAAATCTATTTCAGAGCATCACAACTGTAGGTTCTGCTGGAAAGGAAAGTCTCTTGCATTGATCTCCACTTGTCAATTACTCTGAATATGTGAATATAATTTGGAGAAGCAGATTTTCTCTCCACCTGAAGAGACTCTCTTAGTGTTTGAAATGCACCCACTTTGTAGCCATCTCATCTGCTATAGTCCCTCCTTCCCCAAATCTCATTCTGGTTTCTCAAACTGTCTGTTAGAAATCACTGGAGAATGTTTCCACATTAGTTTTCAATACTGAGCTGTGTCTAAGTCATTCATGTTCAACACCCCAATGCAAAGGCAGCTCCTCTTTGTCTCCTGTCAACCACAACGAAGCCCCAATTAACTTCTGGAGTGAGCAGAATCCAGGCAACAATTCGCATGTTGGGACAGCAGGTCCTGCACGAGCTGCTGGAAGGTCAAGGAGACCTGAAGCTGACACTGCCCAGGTCTCACCTGCCCTTGAAAATTCAGGGGTGCTCTGGCAAGTGCAGATACACAGCCTTGGTCACATATGTGAAAGCACGACATAGCAACAGCACTGTTATTTTTCTAGTGCTGACACATCCTGTCCTAAATTTAAGCTCTAATTAATCTGAGGTCTTAACAGAAAACCACATGCTGACACAATGCATTAGTGTGCACGCGATACAAAAGACGCAGAAAGCCAGAATTCATCTCCCGAAGTGGTTAATGCTTTAAATCCAACCGAACTGAATATCCGCTTAGCTCACCAAATGTTCGGCGTTGCCTCATGATCATCACTGCCCTATTCTCTGCTTTGCTGTGTTCTCGGTAGTGTTGTGCTGTTGATAATGACAAGTGAACAGAAACCTGTACCACGAACACCAGTTGTCTGAAAATTAATTGCTGTTAGAGCCGAAATTTCTTAATGCGTGAAACTTTTTTTTTTTCCCTTTGGGAAAGTGTAGCCGCCTTTCATTTGGTCGTTTTTGAGTTACACAAGCATTACAAAAAAAGTCCCTATCACCATAATTACAAACAGTTCCAGTATGGTAGAAGAAATGACTAGAAACAAAGAAGCTGCAAGCTAAAAATACATATATAGCAGGCATTTCAGAAGGGACTGCTGATTTGGAGTGCCTGTGTACACTTCAAGGGCCCAGCTTTTCAAAAGCTGTTGAGTTTGTATAAACAGTTCACTTCCAGATGCCTCCATTATATATATGCTTGTTATTTTTTCTCTCTCCTCTCAGAGTTAGTGTTGGCTCAATTAGGAATGAACTGAAAAAGTCCGAGAGACACAGTTGCTTATGAGACTGGGACACAGGAATTCCTGTTTTAGGAATGCCAGATGATTTTAGCCAGAGGTGACATCCCTAGATTTTCATCTCCATGTGCATACTTGGAAAAACTCCAGGCAACTAAGTGAAATTTAAGCAGAAAACTTAGGCACTACTGTGAGTTGGGAGGTATGGAAAGCAGCCTAAATTCCTCTTGTGCACTTTAGATGTCTAAGTGCTTAACTGCCATTGTGGTGGGAAATGGACTTTAAATCATATTAAATCCAAATGTAGTTTATTTTGGATTTTCCTGATGCCTTGTACATTTTTTTGAATGAACACTTAATGAAACCACATATTGCCAGGAACAGATAAGCATGTAAAGCGTGTGCTTTACACATCTGTACCTTTCAAAAGGGTGATGGAGTTTAAATAAATAAATAAAAAGAAATGCAACGTTTCGCTGTTTTATTGGGCAGAATTGAGGAAAATCAGTTTTGTCCCTCTTCCACTGGAAAATTAATTCTACTTCTTTACAGAAGAGTCTTCCAATACAAAAATCACATGATGCTGGGAAATAGGTCATGTTGCTCAGCGAAGAACAAAACCTCACGCAACACGAACGCACAACACACATTTTGCTGTAACTAAAGATCCTCACACTTCCTCTCAAAATTGCATTTGTTATCTTTGGACGCCCTGAGGTGAATTTTAGTTCTGTTCTTCTCACAAGGCACTTGGAGCTGAACCACACACTCTTGATTTATACTGAAATTGCATATTTTTCCCTGTAGTGTAAGGGCTGTATTTTGTATATCTTTTTAAGGAAAAAAAGTACCCATTAATATTAGTGGGAGTTTTTCTGTACAAGGAAAGCAGAATCACTGTCCTATATATAACCGAATCTGAAGAAATGCTGGATAAACACTAATTTGGTTTAACCCCTCTTAGCAGTTTGTATTCACCCCCTCTCTTAGCAGTTTATTTTCAGAAGCCCGAGCAAGACTTGCTGTCCTTGCCAGGCCTGTTTCCCACTGATAGCTCAGGCAGCCCAGTGAGTGTAAACATCTCTACTGTCCATGTTGAGGGGCAGATGAAGTGAATCCAG